TTAACTGTTTCTCCATATATTTCTATTTCTCCTGACGCGCGTAGTAAACGGACAGTCTTTCACTTCTCCTATCCTTTTCCTATGGGCTGTCATCATCGATCCTAGATTTATTTATAGAAACCTCTTCGGCCTCCATATCGGCTTGCACTTGGCAATTTCTGTGTTTCCTCATTCGTACCCATCGCATGTGGCCGCTCTTGCCCCCATCTCTTAATAGTTATATAGTATATACATGCATAAAATATATTTTGCAGATTGCGTTTCATCGTATCAATATACACGTTAATATTCGATTTAAATTTGGAATTATTTTACTTAGTTTATATATATATATATATATATATATATTCATTTCGATATTTGTAATCGTTCCATTATTCATCGTATGTACATGTAGTTTGCTATCTATTAGATTTAAATTGATATTATTTTATTTAATCGATATCTGAATATCTTCTTGATATCCGTTAATTGTTTCATTAGCAATAAACTTCAATTTATATATAACTCGATATTATTAGAAATAATAATAATAATAATAATAATAATAATAATAATAATAATAATAATAATAATAATAATATATAAATATTATCAGTGAGAAGCAATAACGTGTTCATTCAAGAAAAAAAAAAACAAAAAAAAACAAAAAGAAATGGGTATTATCATTTTCACGATTATAAACGATGTTACGTTAAAAAAGTTATAAAAAAAAAAAAAAAGAAAAAAAAAGAAAGGAAAAAAAAAAAACAAAGAAAGAGAAAAAAAAAAATTGTTGATTAGTACAATAGAGATTCTTCTTAGAGATTTGAATTATAGAATAAACGTTTCATTATAAAATTCACTTTCAACGTAATATCGTAAGGAAAAGAAAAGACGATAAAACACAAGAGGCGTATCCAGAATTCATTACAATCGATATCAATATTCTCGATGATACGGGTACATCCCATATAAATGCGGGTCTATTAATTACTCAAGTATAATATCGTATGTCCTAATAACCTGAGTAGATGCAAATTTGTTCGTAATATTAGTCCCTCCTTCAATCTCTTCTCTTTTTTTTTTTTTTTCTTTAATATTATTATTATTATTATTATTATTATTATTAATATTATTATTATTATTATTATCTTGGATAGATTGCGAAGAACCCTAAATCGATTCGTTGATAAAAGTGACGTAACTTAATGGCGAAGATAAATCAATCTTTTTTTTTGTTCTTTTTTTTCAGTGATTAATCCGCTACGAGTCTCCCCTCTCCCCCTGGCCCCTCTCCCCTATGCACTCTTTTTTGTATTTATTTAGAAGAAAAAGAGAAAAAGACTAGAAAAGAAAAGAAAAGAAAGAAAAAAAGAACAATACATACATGAAAAAAAAAAGTATCCCACCCAATTATAAGGATGACAATTAACGAGATTGCATTGCGAACAAAAAAAAAAAAAAGGAAAAGAGCAGAAAAAAAAAGGAAAAGAAAAGAACTAGTAGGTATGCAGTCTATAAATCAGATAACAAAAGAGAATAATAATCGATCATGATCGATTGATCGATTGATCGATCGGTCAATTATATCGATCTATCGACTGGTCAATTGTAATACGAAGATCTAATCATACCGTCGTCGTCATCTTCATCATCATCATCATCATCATCATCATCATCATCATCATCATTATTATTATCATCATCATAGTTATCATCTTGGAGAAGCAACAACTTCGTCGAAGTGTGATATAGCAAATTCTATACGAATGATTAGACAAAGTAGAATCTAGGAGAGTTATCGGGGGTGCAACACCATGTCATAGGTCTATTACTCTTCGAACAGGTTGCATTAATAATCCGTGATTATGATCGGCCTAACGCCAGTAGCGGATTCAAGGCATCTAGCCAACGTTCATGGTATATTCATAGCGATAGAAGGAGAGGAACGTCCTTCGTAAGCAGTGTTAGAATTCAACGGAGCTTCCGCCCTCTCTCTCTCTCTCTCTCTCTCTCGCTCGCTCGCTCGCTCGTTCGCTTGCTCTCTCTCTCTCTCTCTCTCTCTCTCTCTCTCTCTCTCTCTTTCTCTCTCTTTAACTCTCTCGTTCTCTCTGCGGTTTCCGCCGGCTGTGGTGACGAGGACGCAACTCTACGCCCTGATCCTGAGTGGTTCCTTAATTAGAAATCAACCGGTAGCTTTATCGGTTAAGTTCCTAGTTACTTCTGTGGTCGATGCCAGCGGCAAATTTCAAAGCAGAAAATCTAATCTCCATATTTTGACATACCTATACCTATATATATATATATATATATATATATATATATATATATATATATATACATACATACATATATCTAACTTCCCTTACTTATAAATAAATAAATAAATAAATAAATAAATATATATTTATTTATTTATTTATTGGTATTATGTATATTGAATCATTATAATCTTTAGAATAGATAGATTCGATTTATATAAAAAAAAAAAAAAAAAAAAAACTGAAATGAATTATAAACAAATAGCTTAAAAACTATATCAAATAATTAAATGACTTGTTGATACGCCGTTTAATCGTCGATATATTGATTCCGATAAAAAAAAAAAAGGGAAAAAAAAGAGAGAGGGGGAGAAAAAAAAAGAAAAATGTAAAAAACAAAACCACCGAATAAAAGGTAATAATCGAAAGATTACGCATATTATTTATTAGTATCGATTTCAAAAAAAAAAAAAAAAAAAAAGAGAAAGAGAGACGAGACATTAACGCTAAACGATAATTATTCAAATATAAAAATCGAAAAAATGTACGAGTAAGGAATAATCTCGAATCGATAGAATTATTATTGTTTTTAATAATGAGAAAAAAAAAAGAAAAAAAAATTTGATAAGACGAGATTCCGAGTGAATAATTCTATTGACTCGTGCATGAACTACGTAATCTACGAGATGAGATAAGGAAAGATAAAAAGAAGAAGAATAAGAAGAAGAAGAAGAAGAAGAAGAAGAAGAAGATAAAGATATAGGAACGTGAAGAAGAAGAAGATGCTGCTGCAAAGCATAATAACCGGCATTACTAATGATGATTTACGTTGTTACAAGGAGGTCCAACAGAATGTGAAAGAGAAAGACAGAGATAGAGATGTGTATATATATATATGTGTGTGTGTGTTTGTTTGTGTGTGTGTGTGTGTGTTTGTTTGTATATATATCTATAGAAAGAGACTGAGTGAGTGAGTGAGAGAGAAAGAGAGAGAGAAAAGATTGAAGAAATGATTTATCGGATCGGCACGACCGAGATTAACTCTCGCGAATGCTTTGAATGATCCCGTTCTCTAGAAACCGATCTGTTTCTTCTTGATAGATAAGATCGATCGGTCGATCGATCGCACGGATCAAAGATTTGTGACCATTAAGCGTATATTCTTAGATATATATTGCAGAAGGTGTGTGCAGAAGTTACCGATGATAAACCTCGATCGTATCTAAAAAAATTTTAAAACCTGAATGAAAATTTAAATAATAATAATAATAATAATAATAATAATAATATTAATAATAATAATAATAATAATATTGATAATAATAATCAAACAAATGAAAATTAATATTAACGATTAAAATTGAATACGATTATACAAATGAGAAATGGATGAAATATTTAATCGATATATTTAATAGAATCTATTAGATAGAAAAATATATCTGTCAATTCATCTTTTTATACATGAAAGTTAATAATTATACGCCATTTTCGATGATAACAAAACCATCAACAAATCAAACAAACTTAATCCGATGACGTTCCACCAAATTTGAACGTTTCCATTATTTCGTTCATTTTTCAAAAAAGCTTTAATGAATTCGATGATTGCGAATGTGAATAATTCAACGAAAGGGAACAAATAACGACGAGTTATTAAAATATGTCCCGATGGTTTTATCGATTGTACGTGATTGTTTACGTGATGAAAGGAAAAGAATTTCTTTTTACTTGTATGCTTTTTCTTTTTCTTTTTTTTTTCTTCTTACCGCACCCCCCCCATATATTCTAGCTACGACTATACGAAAGGAACCGAAAAATGGAGTCGATAGATACGATCGTTATATCGTCATGATCATTATGATCCTATAAGAAGATCCTTAGACTTTCATCGAAGTTCTGTAATCGCGTACAAATGATTAAACGTAATAATCTCCCCCCCCACCGTTTCCTCCCCACTTTAGGGGAATGTCTACTCTACGATCTCTCTCTCTCCCTCTCTCTCTCTTTCTCTCCCACTCTAATACAACGATTAAATCTTCTCGTATGGATCACATCGGTGTATTATTGTTAACCCATCTATTTCTCTTCGGGTAAAATAATTATGGCGACCAAGCCAACACAGGATGCAGCGTATCCGATTACTACATACATATTAGTACGCAGTAGAAACGTATTACTACGGTAGGGATATCGGATCGTTATTATTCACTATCTATCTATCTATATATGTATGTATGCATGCGTGCATGCATGCATGCATGCATGCATGGATGGATGGATGGATGGATGGATGGATGGATGGATAGATGGATGAATGCATGGATGTATATATGTATGCGTTTACATATATAAATATATATATATATATATATATATATATACTATATATATATATGTATGTACATATATATATATATAATGTATGTATGTATATATGTATATACATCGACCGTTTGGAATTCTATCCGACGTGGATGAACTCCCACACGAAAATAATTTACGTAGTAGCGATACTTCCTTCGCACATTCCAACGTTCCGCAAATTTTCCACGCCCTTTTCTCCGTTTGCTATTTTATTATTATTATTTTTTTTTCCCCTTATATATATATATATCACCAGTCTTCCACAAGAACAATGATAATTTTTAATTTAATGATAATTAAAGGTTTAAACGTATTGAAGTAATTACCTCTTACTTCTCAGCAAATTTTGTCCTTCAATATAAATTATAAGATTAGAAAGAAAAAGGATAC